TTGGAATTTTTTTCCCAAATTCCCTCCTCTCCCATGCTTATTGAACAGATGGAGATTGTATTATCTTCCCCTCCTTTCTCTACAAGTCTGGCTTCTCTATTTATTTCTGGTTCTGTGTAAACTTGGTTACATCAGGATTGGCTGGATAAAGGGACTGAGATGGGAATGGGGACAGGCAATAACCACGCCCTAGATGCTCTCGGGTCCCTACCCTGCTCTACCCTGGCTCCAGGACTGCTTCTCCTTAGGAGAACACTGAAGGCTTTAAAGAATTTTCGAGGGCTTGCCTGAGAACCAGACATAAAGTGACCTTTATGAACAAATAGACCTAGGTTGCAAAAATTAGCTTCTAGAATTAACACCCCCATGATATACTAGTCCAATGTTCTTAGGAAGAGTCATCCTAACAGAACTCTGGTGCTGAACACAGGTGATTTTCTACCTGAGCATACAGGTCCAGTATTCAATATTCTGCTTTCTATGTAGTCCCAGACATGGTAATGGTCACAAGTAAAAGTTGTAAAGACTTGATAATCAGTACAAGCCTCAGAAAAAAACTAATTACAGCCAGTTCTTGCATTCATTTCTTGACCTCCCTTTAGCTACCACTTTAGCCACCCATTTAGCCATGCATATTTACATCTTGTTCATCAAAAAATAATTATCTGCACTAAAATTAACTCTTATCATTGATAGTAATAGTATTACCTAGATGTACATTATTTTAGACAATTGCTTTAAATTTAATATTCTGATTTCTGAAACATTCTGTTCAGGAAAAGAAAAACAATGTCTCCAAATTCTTGATCCAATATAAATTGCATAATCTTAAAAGGAAGAATCCTGAGAAAATAGTGTGAGGTTGAGAAAAGATCTGAAGTGACAAGACGAGCAATTAATACTGGAATTGCTATTAGTCTGGTAACCTAGAGCAAGTCAGAGTCTCAGTTTCTTCATCTTGTGAAGTAGGAATAATCTACGTGGCATGGCTGGGTAAAGTTTAAGTAGTCCATCAGAAAATATTTTGTAGTCTATAGCGCATTATTTCATCCAAGCCCCTACTCAAAGTACAAACCTGCCCTTTTACATCACTGAGAGCCTCTTCCTGATCACTTCTAGTGATGGGGAACTCATCTTTGGAAGGTCATTTTTGACAGCCCTAATGACAAGAAAGTATATATATATATGTAAAGTGTGTGTGTGTGTAAAAATACACACATATTTACATATGCACACCTATATACATACATACACATATATGTATATAGGCCTATCTATTTAGCCATAATAAATTCCTCCAACCTCAGCTTCCTGGTTAATCCTGATCATCAACTCTAGCTCAGAGCTTCATTAAGGGAAGGAACAGGTCAGTAAGAATCTATTCTGTAGGAACAGGAATATGGGAACACTTGTCACAGAGCTGATGGCTGCCCTTGCTGTGTTTTGTTAATAACTGATTTATCTTGTTTATCATGCCTACTCCAGGCAAGGAAAATGAGTTTGCTTTCTCTGAGTTCCAGGGAGGAGGAAGCCAACACAGATAAAAGGGTCCCTGTACTGTTCAAGAGGGTAGCACTAGCCACACAGCTATTTCATTTTAAATTAAATTAAATTAAAATTTTAGTTCCTCATTTCACGGGCTCAATAGCCATATGTGATTAGTTATTCTGTGGCACAAATATCAAACATTTCTATTGTGACAGAAGTTGTTTGAAGAGCTGTGGTTGATGATTCATTACTACCTACAATGTGCCAGGGACCAGTTAAACTCTACATGCAAGCACTAAAACATCAATAGTGGAAGTTTTCTATCCCTTGAAAAAATTACATAATAGCATGATTAACTGAGCTCTTACTCTGGACAGTTCAAGAAAAAGGGTGGCTTTTATTCCCAAATGAACATCATAGGCTTCACATTCTTTCCCAACAATCTTAAGAAAATTGAGATAGTATTAATTGGTTACCTATGTTGTTATCAAACGCTCATTTCCACTTACATTTGGAGATCTGAGTTTCTCTCTAAGGCAGAGGTCTTTAAATCACGAGGTGCCACACACAGATCAGAACTAAACAGAAGTTGAGACTTTAAATTGGCAAATGTCATTGCTCATTTATTCCTGACAAGTGAAGACCTATGGTTAATTCAACTGCAGGATATGGTGAAATAACTACAGTTACTTAGTTATACTATTTCTTTCACCACTTATCTGAGTGAAGAAGTCCAGCTTGGATACTATATGTAGAGCTTTACATTAACTTTTCTCCAGGAATAAGGAAGTGTCCACACTGCCTTTTGTCTTGAAAACGTAATTGGGGAAGGTGTACCACAAAAGAATGGGATTCTCTCTGAGAGCATGTTTAGCTACTGTCACAGCTTTAACTGGGAAGGGTGAAATATTTACATCTGGCTAGGTCTGCCCTTCAAGGGCTGGGGCCAGATATTTGCCATCCCTCAGCCTTGGTCTTTTCTTCTGTAAAACAGCAGGATTGGAGCATATGATCAGAAAGGTTTCTGTAATTCCAATGACTTACCAAAATAACCATGACCCACATCCTATCTATAAACCTCACATAGTTCTCTCCCTAACCCATGCTGCTGTCATAACCCTCCCACAGTCTTTTTTTTTTTTTTTTAGAACTTAGTAAATCGTTCAGACAAATAACTGTATTCTACCCATAGGCTTTATCTTATAGTCAGCAAATCATTTGCTAAAGTACTAACCTCCGAGAGTCATAAGCCCACATTCTGAAGGGGCTTCCAGCAGTGGTTGATAAACTACTGCCCAAAGGCCAAATCTGATCCACCTCCTATTTCTGTACAACAAGGAGCTCAGAATAATATTTACATTTTTAAATGGTTGGAAAAAATAAAATGAAGAATAATATTTCATGTCATATGAAATTCAAATTTCAGTGTCTATAAATAAAGTTGCATTGGAACCCATCAACAGCCATTCATTTATCTATTGTCTACGGATACTTGTGGCCGACACAGCAGAGCTGAGTGGTATGTGGCCATACCACTATGACTACATAGTCTACATACCACTATGTATGTAGACTCTCTCATACAGAGACTGTATGGCCCATAGGCCTAAAATATTTACTACCTGGCCCTTTACTTGCCCCTGGGTGTAGAGCACAGACTCTGGAGTCAGATGGCTTGGCAGCACACCTCAGCTCTGTTTTGTTCCTTCCCCTTCCTCAACGGTATAATGAGAAAGATAATAGTACCTATCTCATGGGTTTTTATTAAGATTGAGCAAATAAGTAAAATGCGATGAGGATCTGGCACATTTTTATTATTATATATATGTCTGATGTTATTATAAGTTGCCACAATATTTTCCTGCAAACTAAAGTATTAGCAGCTGACCAATTTGTTAGCAATAATTGTAAGAATCAAATTTGCAACACTCCATTAAAATGCAATTCCTTAGCAGTAAAGCAGTAGGAAGATGTCTAAGCACAACTGATATGACAATTCGTATAGCCGTTTATCCACAAAGCTAATTCTGCAGTACTTAAAAATATTTTATATGCTTTATACTTCTTTCAAACTTGAGTCTTGAGCTTATACTCAACAATGAGTTCAGCCCTGACATCTCTTCCTTATAGTCGGTTGCCTCTTTCTGAAGAAACAGGCTTCCAAAGAGAGACCAGGGTAGAGACCAGACATTATTAGATGTCTTATCTACCTTGATGATTGCTACCTTGATGACTGAAAACAGTAACCTGCTTCCTGAATCAAACACAAAACAGGCAACATGCAGTGTCTTTGCTATGCCACAACAGGGACTATTAGAATTTTTCTCACGATTCGGACTTTGGTTTTCAATAGGGCTTGCGAGGGAAGTTACACAGAAGAGAAAAACAATGAACCGAATGAGGACAATAGCCCACGAATTTAGAATGGAGGAAGCCCGTCCACCACAGCGAAAAAGCACACTGGCGGGTGTTCCAATATTTGTGAAATGTTGATGACCCTTTAAATGTTTCTGTGCAACCTCCACAACAAATACTGTGAATCTTGCTTATTAATGCGTTTCTCACTATGTTAAAATTCAGGAAATCATTAAGTCTAGTCCTTAACAGTGAAGGGCAAGCAAACATTTTTCTGTGTCATTGAAATTACACAAAACAAAACAAAACAAAACAAAAAGCTCACGCCTGAATTGCTTCGGACTATTCAACTGGGAGATAGAAAAATATGTGAAGTAAAGAAGAATAACCTACATTGAAGTTCCTATCTCTTATCTTCCTGAATACTGAAAAAACACACTCTTACTTTCTTCTAAACTTTTCTTATATAAAAAGTAGCTGAATAATTTTAGGGAAATGGATTGTTTTGTCTGAATCATCCAGATAATTCAAACAATTCATTTTGCTAAGAACGATCTGGGTGAGGCTGTCCTGCCTGGAAAATGCCCCCTGTCCTACTCAGGACACGAGCCACGCCCAGCTTAAACAGGCAAGTAATTGACCCCTAGGAAGGAAATACGCCGTTGTCGTTGAATGAACTTTGCAATCAACCGCAAGCCAGACTCTCCCTTGCACACCGTTCGTCAAGTTAATTCTTCTTTTCCAAGGGAGCTTTCGTATTTCCATCGTTCAACGACTCCTTCACCCACTAGCACCTAAGACTTGCCCGAAGGAATTCAGCCCCTGCCTCGCGATGGTGCGCTCCGCTTATAGTAGCTCCGTCCTGTCCAATAAAGTTGTTTAAAATAAGAAATGTGCCAGATAATAGCCAAGTCCGATGGAAAAAAAAAAAAAAGAATTCCTGGGGCGGTGTATCGATGTTGGAATGTGCCATTAGTTTCGGAGGGAGGAAAGTCCCTGGTGTGAATTGCCTCGCAGGTCGTAGGCCACCACTGGACCTTCGGTCGTGCACTGCGTTAGCACCGTAATGGCAAAGATAGGAAGAAGCGCGCAGGCAGTGGAGCCACGGCCGCGTGCACAGGCAGGAACTGAAGACAGCTGCGGAGCGCCTCCCCCACGCCCGTGTGGTGCGCTCTGGGGCGGCCCCCTCGCGGCAGGGCGGGGCGGGGCAGGCGGCTGGGAGGCTTGGTGCACAGAGCCAGGGAGGCGGCGGCGCAGTCTGCACCATGGCGTACCCAGGGCATCCTGGCGCCGGCGGCGGGTACTACCCAGGCGGGGTAAGTGCTGATTGCGCGGGATCGCTGCCCAAGCGGCTCCGGGGCGCTAAGAGGCCACCTTGGAGATGCTGCGGCCAGCGGGGTGAGGCGCTGCTGGGCAGCTGCCCGGGCTCCTTCCGCCCTCGGCTTCTGCTTGCGCTCGCGGCCTCGCCCTAGGCCCCTGCGGTTCGGCCTCTCCCCTGGTTTCCCCCGTCCCTTCTCCTGGATGGCTCTGCGGGCCCAAGGTGAAGGTGGATTGGGACCCCAGAAGCCCGCCCTGCGGCTTCTCGGATACGCGGCATGAAATCGTGTTAATTGGGTGTTGACTAACCCCCACTTCACCCCACCCCCGCCCTCTCGGTTGCCTCCCAAAGCAACAACAGTCATTTTATTCTAGAATGATACTTCGATATACCTTCCTCCCTCAAAAAAAAAAAAGTGAGAAGGGGGACAGAAAAAAAAGGAAAACCTACTGAAGTAAAAGACCTGTAGGAAGGCAGCCTTGCCGGGCGTCTGGGATGCGCGTTGTCTTGGGAACTGTTTCCGAGACAGGCAGTGTTCCCTCGCCACCCACGAGATACAGCCCGGTCAGACACCTTACTCTTCCCTAGGCTACACCCGTCTCAGAATGTTACCAACTCCAGCCTTCCATCGTTCATAAAACGCTTTTAAAATACCATAAATGCTGTAACAACAAAAGGAGAATTCCAAGCCCTTTCATTGGCTTGCCTAGTTTGCACTCACCTCAGTAACCTTCAAGTTAATAGGGATTTTAAAAGTTGCTTTACATATGCAGACATCACTTCCACAGCAACTCTTTATGGTCCAAGTCGCCAGTTTTTAAATTACGGGGGTGTGAATGGAAGAGAGGGGTGGAGTGTTGGCAGAGTGTGCCTGGGGGTGGGGAGGTGAGCCTTGTGAAGGGCAGGCAGGCGGGCAGTTGTCTGGCCTTGCACGAAAGCCCTCAGTGGTGAAAGAAGAAAACTTGAATGACGGGTTTGTGTTTCCTGTTTCACAGTACGGAGGGGCTCCCGGAGGACCTGCGTTTCCCGGACAAACTCAGGATCCGCTGTATGGTTACTTTGCTGCTGTAGCTGGACAGGTTAGCTTTTACCTTTAATATTAAAGGGCCGTTATTGTCCTCATTTGTGGTAGCTTTTGATATAGTGACACTGAAAAGCGAACTTCCTCTGGTACTGAGTCCCTTTGCTTCTGCAAAAGAAAAAAAAGAAAAAAAGAAAGTTCTTTGTTTCTTATTTTAGTTATTTATTTTTGAATGTTCAGAATAAATTAGGACAAAGTGTTACTCGTATTTATGTGAGTTCAGTTCGAAACCAAACTTGTGGTTGAATTAAATGTTCCAGGGTGGTTTCCAGCGAAGAAATTCTAGATCTGGTAAATATAAACCCTTGTTTGTACAACTTAAAGACGTTTATTAGTAATTACATAGCCCGATTCTCATGGGCACTTCCTTTGGGTTGAACTTGATTGCTAATCATTCACCCACTTAGGAAATATGGTAAAAACCCACCAGGTTCTAAATAAGCAAGTTACTGTCCCCTTATTAGTATCAGGAAGTTAATCTTGTGAACAATGTAGTTTCTCTTTGACGCAGATGCTGTTACTAGGTTAGCCCCTCCCCCTCCGTGTCCTTATTAGGTGCTGTGGCCTGTTGACCCAGAGAAGCAGAAGGTCAGCTCCCCAAGACCTTTCACTTGTCTGCATTCTGCGTCATATGACAGGAGCTGTCTTACATTGACAGGTGCTATCTTACATTGTGAGAGGACACTTCCCTAGCTCATGAGGTCACTGTGTACAGTAAATATACTGTCGGTATAACCCAGACATGTCCAGAGGGGATGTTTGTTCTTATGAATTCAACCTAGTCTTGTTTTGACCAAAAGCTAGAAATAGCAAAATTTTAATGTGAAAACTGTAGAATATTATGGGATAAAAAAACCGAAGACCACTTTTTAAGGTAGTACTCTAAGAAATACAGCTTAAGAAATTGAATGGAAAAATAGTCTAAAACTGGAAGACCTTCCCCTTAAGTGTCTACTTAATCTGTTAATGATCCGTATCTTTGAAACCACAAGACATGGCAAACCTCAAGACCAGCATTCTTAGATTGCCAGTGCCTCCAGCATGTAAGTGACCCCACCTGCTTAGCTTTCAGCAGCCCTGGCCTGTATTCAGCATACCCATTGTGTTTCAAATTGTTGCTCTTGCTCCTCATTTATAACCTATAATACCCAGTGACTTGAGGATTTAGGTATTTTATTTTAAAGTCCCTAAAAATCACATATATCTAGTTCTTTCCCAGTTCAGCCAGTGAACAGGCACTGGGAACCTAATGTGTATCTTCCAGATGTATTTGTGCTCTGAAAAAAAACATTCACTATGTCATAAGAAAAAGTGACCAAGAGGCCTCTCTCTGTTTGAACCAAGCCTTCTCTTTACTTATGTCTGGTGTGTAGCTTGCTCTGTCCACCCGCCTCAAACAAAAAGAAAAGAAAAGAAAAGAAAACAAGGAATTATGATTAAGCAACTTACATACATTATTTTAAAATGTTTAGCTGTAGCAGTTTCCTAGCTCAGATTGACAGAAGAGTAGTTGCCAAGACAGACTCTTTCTTTCATCATTAATTGTGGCAGTGGGTTAAGGAAAAGAATGCCCACTTTTGGAAGGCATTCCTTTTAATAAAAGGTCATGCATGATGATACTGATTTTCTTGGTTGTTATTGCTTCATTGAATGCTGAAGGTAAACAAATAACTTGAAAGTACAAATCACTATTATGATCCCTCTAATTTGTTTTTCGAAAGGATGGGCAGATAGATGCTGATGAATTGCAGAGATGTCTGACACAGTCTGGCATTGCTGGAGGATACAAACGTAAGTTGACAGTCCCAAAGTTTGTCTAAATGTACTCGTGTTTCCTATTTTAGCTGTTACTTGTGATTACAGCCTTCAAGAAAACTGAGCTTGTCTGATCTAGCAAAGTTTAGAATTCCGAAAGCTAAAATATGGTACTATTTCAAAATGTTGATTTGAAAACAGTTGTTAAATCACTCCAGGTTGGGCACAGTGGCTCATACCTGTAATCCCAGTACTTCAGAGGCCCAGGCAGGAGGATCGCTTGAGGCCAAGAGTTTTTGGCTGCAGTAATCTGTGATTGTACCACTGTACTCCAGCCTGAACAACAGAGCAAGACCTTGTCTCTAAAATAATAGTAATAATAAATTATTCCATCCTACCTGCCAATTTAGTGGATTTCTCAGATTTGGGTTTTGTGTACCTAGAACCAGTGAGACAGTTTGGGTGGCCTCCTTCACAGAGGACAAGGTAGGGTGCTGAAATGGAATGTGCCAGGTCAGGTGTCACTAACCGACATTAGGAACTAACATTTACTGTTATTTGCCAAAAGCCTACTCTGTCCTGACCTGGTGGCACTTAGGACTTTGAGTGGCTGCTCCTGCACCCCTGGTCCCTGAGTGGCCTATCCTGAACTCCTGGTCTGAGCTTTGGGCATGCTCCTGCTAACATAAGTAGTCGCCATGACATCCCTCAGGTCTTTCCTCTTCCACTTCATAGAATGTGTTCAGGCTAAGTGGGAACTGCTCTTTCTACTTACTGGACCTGCTGCTCCATAATTCAGCCCTAACCCTACCACTGCCTTTTGAGCTCTCTGCCATGAGCTGAGAGTATTGAAATACTGCAAAGATGCTCCATCCGTGGCAGGGCACAGTGGCTCACACCTGTAATCCCAGCCCCAGCACTTTAGGAGGCCAAGGTGGGAGGATTGCTTGAGCCCAGGAGTTCAAGACTAGTCTGGGCAACATAGTGAGACCTTGTCTCTGCAAAAAATTTAAAAATTAGCCAGGCATGGTGGCATGCACCTGTGATCCCAGCTACTCAGGAGGCTGAGGTGGGAGGATTACACGAGCCCAGGAGGCGGAGGTTGCAGTGAGCCAAGATTGTGCCACAGCACTCCAGCCTGGGTGACAGCCTGTCTCAAAAAATCCAAAAAATTGCTGCATCCCAATTGGGGGCTTCTCGTCATCCAACACACATGAAGTGGTTCCTCTTGAAATTAGATCTTGAACATGATAGATTTCCAGGGTAGAGAATAATGTCTTGCTTCAAATATATTACCTGCCAACTTCTTTGCCAGTTATTAATTGAGACAGAACATCAAATTGAAGACCCAATTTCATGGTTAGCTGTGGATTAAAATGTTCAAACTAGAATTTATAGTGGCCTTTTTAAAAAAACTATTTGTGAATTTATAGTGGCCTTTTTAAAAAAACTATTTGACATGCCATGTATTAGATGTCTGTCTTTGAACTCTCTGCATTTGTTTTCATCATCCTTTGTTTTATGTGACTTTAGTTTGGAGGAATTAATACAAACAAAGAACCTTTCAAGTTCCTGTTATTTAATCTAGTCCTAAACAAAATAAGCACTTTTTGGATTAGGGGATGTTCTTCTTTACTGTGTAGGTAGTACATTTAAATTGTTAATTGTTACGCAGTTGAGCTGGTGAACAAGGTAGGCCTGCCTAATAGCAGGGTTTATCAAAGTGCAGTGAGATCACAGCACGGCTTGTTATTCTACACCTTTTCAGTAGATGAGGTGTGGTAGATTTTAGAATCTGACTAACAAAATGGGTTATATATTCTTAGAGAGCAGTCCTTTTAAAATTTCTTTGAGAAAGCCACATTTAGTGATGGCCTTAGATCAGTGCATTAAAGAGAAAGCATTTCCTGAGTCATGGGGACTATGTGATTGAATCCATTTGCCTCCTCTCTGGTGGCTGTACTGAACCACAGAACCATCCTGCCTATGAGGTGTCAGGGTTTTGTAATACAGATGTTATATGGAGATTAGTCTTTTAAACCCAGCTTCCAAACCAAAAAGCACAGATCCGAATTGGATGGGCTGGTGGGATACTCCAGCTCAGAGCCTATGGGCCCTTCTTAACCAGTTTAAAAGGAAGCAGTCGTACCTAGAGGTGGAGTTGGTGAGACAAGTTATGTTCCAGTCAGTAAGATTGTAATTCAGCTTCTCTTGTTTTCCTGAATTTAGTTGTTCATCTGTGGTAAGGTTGAGAGAAACAGCTGGAGGTAGGGCTTTCCTTCTAGGTCTATTATATTGTATGTTTCTGTGAGAAGAAAAGATGTTTGAAGCATTGTAGTACAATGACTAGAAGAGAAGAAAAAGAGTAAAGGTAAAATTACAGCAGAGATTCTTTGGAAATTATTAAAATTAACATTTAATTTAAATAATTTATTTTAAAATGTTGAATTGGTAATTTAATAATTTATAGTTATAATTATATGTTGTTACACTTATATATCACAAGTATGTAATATATAATACTTATAATTTTAATTTTAAATAATTATTTAAAGTAGAGTTAACACTAATAAAAGCTATACTATTAACAAAATTGAGAAAGAGTTTTCCTTACCCAAACTTATTGGACATCAGCATTCTAGTTCATTGGAACTGTCTGGAATGGTATATTTTTTTTCATTGACTTTTGTTCACTGCCATCTCACTGCCCTTTCAGATCCTTCTCACAAAAGATGACCAGATTCCTGATCTTGATCTGTCCCTCTCCTCCTCAGTCTTTACTAACAGCTCAGAAGGAATTCAGGATCCTCTGTAATGCAGCCTCCCCTGACCAAACATATTTTCTCCCACTCCTTTTGTACTCTTTGAAAGTCATATTGAGCTCTTCACTTACACTTTGCCTGTCCTGGGCCTTCTACTTCTCTTTTTGCTTATGCTGGTCCTTAGGTGTCACCAAATGCCCCCATCATTCTTGTCATTCAAGGCTTGGCTTAAATTCTATGTCTTCTATGAAGTCTTTCTTGATTCTCTTACTAAGAAGGAGCCTCTCACTTCTCAATCCCGTCTAGTACTTTCTGGCGCCTCCATTATAATTCAGCACTCTACCATGATTAGGGTTGTATGTGTATGTGACTTATCTTTTCCTTAGACTGTCAGCTAGGGCAGTATGCAGTTTCACAATTGTATCTCCAAAGTTGTTGTTACCCTGAGCCCTGAACATAATAAGGACTTAACAGGTGGCTGTTGAGTTAATGAATATGGAAAATTTTCCAAGTCAGAAAAATCATAGCACTGTAGCCTCATTGGCATTTTGATTTAAGATTATACATTAATTTTTGAACATTAGTAAAGATCAGAAAATTCAAAAAATTCTTTCTTAGACGATCTAAGAGGGTTGTACATATAAAATGCAAGGCTCTAACAGCTTCCTGCATGGGGGTGAGAATTTGGTGCTATCCATCCATTCATTCAACCAGTGCATTTTTAGTGAACACTTCCTGTGAGCTAGGTGCTGGCTCTGTAGCCACAATCAATGCCTGGGTGTTGGGGAAAAGCACTGGGATAAGTAAGGAGAGAGGCTGTGGAATCACATAAGATGGGCACATAACCCAGACAGGAGTCAGGAAAATTTTCCTTGCAGAATTGATACCTAAGCTGAGCAGAAGTGAAAGTTCATCAAAATTGAGGCCGACCATGAAATGAGTGGGATGGGGAAGTTGTGTCCTAGGCTGTTAGAACAGCATGTGCAAAAGACCCAGAAATAGTGTGGTTCAGTCAAGAAACTGAGAAATTCTCCATGAAGATAGTGTACGGGGTTGAATGAGAATAAGAGATGAGCTTGACTGGCAAAATAAGTGTGTTACCTTATGTGCCAGTTAAGGTGCTTGGACTTTATCCTGAGAGCAGTAGATCACTGATACTGGGTTTTACATAGGAGAGCACATACCACCCCTGACTGTAGGGTAAAGACAAATAAATTGGGGGACATGGAAGTAAAACAAGAGTCAGGGCTGTTAGTCATACAGGTGAGAGAAATGCTAACTAAAGAGACAGTGGGGCTGGAAATGGACTTTACAGCTGTTTAGAAGGTGATTGATTATTGGTGGAGAGGGAATTGAGGAGGCTCCCAGGTTTCTGGCTTGGGTGACTGCTGAGTGGATGAGGGTGCGATTCATTAACAGAGATAGAGAAGCTGTCTGCCTCATAGCCTCTTCAGTACCTTCACGTGAGCCCAACACAGTCGGCTCTGCCTTGTGGTTGTCAGGCCATCCAGAGCAGTAGTTCTTAAACTTGAGCAGCATTGGCATCGCCTGGAAAGCTTACAAAAACCAGATTGCTGGGTCCTGCGCTAGAGTTTCTCATTCAGAGGTCTGGAGTGAGCCCTGAGAATTTCACCTCTAACAGGTTTCCATGTGATGCTAGTTCAGGTTGAGCCAGCTGCTTTAACATAAATATATATCACCTGCACATTTGCTAAAATTCAGCTTCTGATTTTATTGGTGTAGGTTAAGGGCTGAGATTCTGCAGTTCTTCAGGCTCCTGGGTGATGCTAATACAGCTGGTCCAGGAATCACACTTAAGAGTAGAACGATGGTCTCAACCTTGGCTGCTCACTAGAATAATCTGAAAAGCTTTTTAAAAATACAAATACCTGGGTCCCACACCCAGAGTTCCTGATTTAATTGTTCTGTGGTGCAGCCCAGGTATCAGAATCTTTTAAAGCTTTGATTTTGATAAGCACCAGGGTGGAGAACTACAGCTCCGGATTAGAGGAACTTCATACCTCCACACAACTTAAATGTCAGAATGAAGAATCTCCCAGCTCTTTCCCAAAAGTGTAAAAAGTGCTTCCTCCTCCTCTTATCTAAGAGAATATTATCTGTGGATCGGATGGAGATTGAAGGACCTAAATAGAAATAGTCACTAGTCTTTTATTTCCACTAAAGAATATGCCAAACACAGGAATCTATTAAATGTGTAAAACCTATAGTTTGCACTGTTGGGAGACATTACAGTAATTAGCGCAGTTGTGTTTTAATTTCAGTTTGGTTAGAGAAAAATTATGAAGCTAAAAAGAGCTGTAAAAAATGTTAGTTCTGTATGTTAACAAACTTGCAGAATTTATACCAGCTTTTCCCACGTGACCCTTGTCACTTCTGCCATTTAGCCTTATAGCTTCTTTGTACCCATACAATTTCTTCAGTCATTGATTCCCATTAATACAATGTAAGAGGTTATTTGTTTTTAATTTCCTAATGCTTAGATTACCAGTAACCACACCCACTGCGTGTGCTCTGGTTTGGTTACATAAGTGAGGTACCAAAATGCCCTCAGAACACTCCTAAACTGTAGGTAAATTAAAAAGCCTTCTGAATAGTGGCCACTATTGGTCATGGGGTCTTATCTAGAGTACTCTTATTTAACACATAATTCTAACACCCGTATTTACCTGGTTTCATATATAAGCTAAGAGCTCATACACTATTTGAGGTAGCAGGTTACTGCTCAGTACCTGACATTGAAGGGAAAATAGAAAAACAATCAGACACAAAATTAGCAAAACCAGCAATTTATAGTCATTTATGAGTTGGAACAAAGCAACCCCAACTTCCCACCAACCATGTTGGATATAATACATTATGGTTCGTTATGGTGACTTGAACTCTCTATATTACACTTTCAAAGCAAGAAAGTATGAACAGTACTATGTAATACTGTTTTGTTGGTTTTTTTTTTTTTGAGACGGAGTCTTGCCCTGTCACCCAGGCTGGAGTGCACTGGCATGATCTCAGCTCACTCACTGTAACCTCCTCCTCCCAGGTGCAAGCAATTCTCCTGCCTCAACCTCCTGAGTAGCTGGGATTATGGGCATGCGCCACCACGCCTGGCTAATTTTTGTATTTTTAGTAGAGACGAGTTTTTGCCACGTTGGCCAGGCTGGTCTCAAACTCCTGACCTCAGGTGATCCACCTGTCTTGGCCCCCCAAAGTGCTGGAATTACAGGTGTGAGCCACCATACCTGGCCTATGTAATACTTTTTAAAAGGAATTCTATCAAAGTTATTTAAATCATATTTGGGTTCCTAGCAGAAAATCCTCTTTATGGAGAAAAGGCTACTTTGAAGTTCCATATGATAAGTCACATGTACATTGAGTAGCATGTAAAAATAAAAGTGTATAATAGTCATTTCTAATTAATTTGAATGTATCCAGTGTAATGTGAATTTTTGGATTTGTGTTAATATGTATGTACTTTTCTTGATTTAACAGCTTTTAACCTGGAGACTTGCAGGCTTATGGTTTCAATGCTGGATGTATCCTTTACCTTGATTGTTGTCTAGAATATTTTTTTTCTAAAATTCTAAAGGAATTCACCTTAGAATTAATACCTAGTAAACACAAAGTAATAAATGATCACTAAAAAGCTTTCTGAAATAATTAGCTTCTGTTATAGGGTATAATTTGGTGTGAATAAAGGAAGAAAAGAAATTTAGTAAACAGAATGTTGTTCAGAAATTCAAGGAAATATCAAAGTATTATAGAACAAGTATAGAGTCCAGAGAGAGTCCAGAGTGTCAGGAGAGCTTTTTTTTTTTCTTTAACATTGATTCCTCTGCAAGTGATGGAATTTTTTTCGTATCCCAGTTGTTGGACTGAGTTTAGCTAGTGCTGACTATCCACTAGCTATCCACCAGTCCATCCCATGTCATTTGTCTGGGAGCACTAAACAAGGGAATATTAGTACCAGAGATGATGGTAGGACAGAAGGGCAAACAGCATAGCCTGAAGCACCCAGAAAGCACAGCCCAGTTCCAGTAACAAGACCGCTTTTTATAAGTGGTTCACAGTGGCAACGCTATTTCCTTATAATCAGGTCATGTAAGTTATCTTTTCCCCACAGTAAAAATAGGTACTTGAGGTTTTTCTCCATAGCCCCTTTTTGTTCTATTTTTAAATCATTAATCTTACATCATACCCAGAATAATCTACAATAACTTTTTTAGTCATTCAATATTGAATTCCCCTTATCCTTGATCTTTCATTTAATCCTTAGAAAATCTTGCAAAATACAGCTCTGATCCTTGATTACAGTTCAGAGAGATATGTCTGGCAAAATGGGTTTCAATGAATTTAAAGAACTCTGGGCTGTACTGAATGGCTGGAGACAACACTTTATCAGTTTTGACACTGACAGGAGTGGAACAGTAGATCCACAAGAATTGCAGAAGGCCCTGACAACAATGGGTGGGTATGGCTTACTAGAACTCTCCATTCATTGGTAGAAGTAAGTTGTTTTTTATTTTTAAAACTAGGCTGGGCGCGGTGGCTCATGCCTGTAATCCCAGCACTTTGGGAGGCTAAGGAGGGTGGATTGCCTGAGCTCAGGAGTTCAAGACCAGCCTGGGCAACACGGTAAAACCCCATCTCTAGTAAAATACAAAAAAATTAGCTGGGCATGGTGGGATGCGCCTGTAATCCCAGCTATTCGGGAGGCTGAGACAGGAGAATCACTTGAACACAGGAGGCAGAGGTTGCAGTGAGCTGAGATCGCACCACTGCACTCCAGCCTGGGCGACAGAGTGAGATTCCCTCTCATAAATAAATAAATAAATAAATAATTGCTACCTGAAGGCAGTTTCTGTTTTCTTAGAAATTGTGTGTGTTCATAATTAATATGAGTTCACAGTCTTAAAAAATAAAATAGTGCCTATTTTTTGTATTTTTAGTAGAGACGAGTGCTTCTTTTATTTTTATTTTATTTTATTTTTTAATGGGCTTTTGCCATCCTTTAACCTTTTTACTGGGTGACTTTTCTTTTAGGATTTAGGTTGAGTCCCCAGGCTGTGAATTCAATTGCAAAACGATACAGCACCAATGGAAAGATCACCTTCGATGACTACATCGCCTGCTGCGTCAAACTGAGGGCTCTTACAGGTGAGTTCTATAAGGTCATGTCATCACCACAAGCCAAGACACAGTTATTACATTCATCTCTCAGTGCTTCTCCTTTTATTCTTCCCCAATTTTTTTCTTGCTTTAGTATTTCAAATTACTGTTAAGCATATCTAGCAGAATAATTTTTTGGTTTTTTTCCAGAATTTATTTTAGATTAGTAAGTAATCTGCCATTAAAATAAACAAATTTTACTAAAATGTTCTAAAACATAATCAGCTAACTTGTGCATTTTTGATCAGATTATGATGAATTTTTCCCTATAACGTGACATATCTGGAAATAATGAAATTAAAGTAAAATCCTTTTCCATAGGGCAGAGCTGAAATGGTGGAGAAATTGATCACAGCCCATTTATTATATCGGGGACTCTGTTTCTTAAGCAGTATCTTTGTTATTAAGAAGCTAGAAATTCTGTGCTTTTATCACAATTAAGTAATGGCCATGGAAGTTGCACAGCTTTTACTGACTTTGGGTAAGGTATTTTCTCCAGATCCACATTGAAAAAGACAGCCGGCCAACTTCTGCCTGTTATTTTGTTGCATATTAAATATTTGACTATTCATATAGTTGGCTTCTTTGCTTTGGTCTTTTGTTTATGTTAATTGGTTGCACAATTTAAATGTTATTGCAATGTGAATTAAATGCTAAAATAACTAACTTTTATGATGTTAGAAAAACCATTTAAAGAAAAACCATAAATTTTACTGTGTTGTTTTACAGACAGCTTTCGAAGACGGGATACTGCTCAGCAAGGTGTTGTGAATTTCCCATATGATGATGTAAGTCTTAAAATAAAATAAGAAAATAAGAAAATATAATTACATACCAGAAATCTACATAATTTTTTTTTTTTTTTTTTTTTTTTTTTTTGAATCTTGAATCGCTTATCCTTATTACGTTCAGAGATATGTTGCAAATGTTTATGAATTTAAAATCTGGTTACTGAGTGGAGAAACTTATCAGTTTGAAAAAGATGTACACCAGATGGGTATCCCTTTGAAATTAGCTGTTAAGAACATCTTAAGGATGCCAGAGACATAAGGGATTCAAGAGTTAGAAAGAGTTATCATCCAGAATTTATTAATTTCATGTATTAGTCTTAACTATAGTTAGACTATGGTTTGATTTGCATTCAAAGACCTGGGTTCAAGACCCAGCTTGTTGTATTTATTAGCTGGATCACTTAAGCGGGTTTCTTAATTGCTGTGACACTATATGAATAAAGAAGATACAGTAGTAATGCCTTTTTCACTGAGCTGTTGTAAGATTTCTACTAAAAATGCCCTTGAAAAACACTATGCGGATATAGTATCTGCTTTTGTCTTCTATAAACAAATCATGTCTGTCATTGAGAATAGGTAACAGCTCAATAGCTTTGCATACCTATGTTCTTCATTGAGGGCATAAGGCAGGCACCAACTTAAATCACAATTTTTTTTTTTGAGATGGAGTCTTGCTCTGTTGCCCAGGGTGGAGTGCAGTGGTGCAATCTTGGCTCACTGCAACCTCCGCCTTCTGGGTTCTAGCAAGTTTTTTTGTATTTTTAGTAGAGACAGGGTTTCACTGTGTTAGCCAGGATGGTCTCGATCTCCTGACCTTGTGACCCATCCGCCTAGGCCTCCTAAAGTGTTGGGATTACAGGCGTGAACCACTGCTCCCAGCCAAATCACAATTTAAAACAAGTTATTTACTAAATAGCCACACTAAACGAGGTTAGGGTAAGGCCATGTAACCAGTGTGAACATAACCAAGTGCCATCTTTGATGGCATTAGCTGGATGTATATAACAAAGCTAGGGAGATTGGTTACTTGTTTCTTCAGTTTTTGCTCGGCCATTGATTTAAAAAAAACAAAAAAAAAAAAACTTGAACTGAAATGACTGTAATCACTGAATATTCCATTCTCCATTACAAAATATAAGATGCATATATTTTTGGTTTAGCAGCTGCTGCAGTTATAAGTACACTTTTAAAAGCTTAGTATGTGTGTGTGAATATGCTTATTTTACCTGCTTACGGGTGTGTTCTCTTTAACATGCGTTAACTTCTTAGTTGACAGTCCACTTGCTGTTTCTAAAGATCAGGAGGCTGCCTGGGGAATGGAAAGACCATGGGCCTTGACTTCAGATGGGGCTACTTAAAAGATTTCTAAACATCCTGATCCTTATTTTCCTTTTCTCTAAAATAGGGATAATCACCTTGACCTTGCGATAGAGCTGCAAGGGTTAGCAGCTTACAGTACCTTACTAGTATAGGGAACACTGATAGAGCAGAATCTATTGCTTTATGTTTAGTGGGGAAGCCAACATTTCAGAGCAAATACCAGTATTTCTAATCTCAGGTATCTGAAGGCTTAGCTGTTCTGTTTCTGTGCATACATACACTTGCATGCTACAATTTATTTTAATAAAGCAGATTTTAAGGGAATAAACTGTTTAAGGTGTTCCATTAGAGTAATGGGGTAATACTGTGCAGTTCGGAAATCCCCACGTGATACAACAGTATAAACTCCAGTTATTTGTGTTTGTGGTAAGTGCCTTTGACCACGACCATTTCTAGACTCTTAGATATTAAATTATTTATCCATTGACGTTGTATCTGCTTTCTCTAAGAAGTTTTGATGTGAGAAACCCTATGGATTTTATATTACACTGCTTCCCTAAGAAAAGGAAACTTTTCCATCTATCATTTACTCATATCTTAGAAAGTTGTAGGGGTTGTTTTACCCACGTTCAAATTAGAAAACCCAATGCAAGCTGCCAGAAATAGGCTGTGCTGTATAAGTGTTTTAAGGTCTGTCATGTAACGCTGATTTTTCTTTCAGTTCATTCAATGTGTCATGAGCGTTTAAATCAAGAGGAAGCTGCATGAATGTAATCGACATTCCAACTGGAATATCCTCCTTTGCTTGTCCTCTTTGCCTTCAGTAATATGTGTAAACTTACATCACGACTTTCAATGCTGTTGTAAAGTTTATTACTTTATGTAAAACTGAAGTTTTGTTTTTAATTTTGATAATAAATTCTTTGGAACTTTAATAAGATCTAGTCTGTTACACCCTTTAGAACTTTCCTGAGCCATTATCAGTCATGCCTTATTTTCTTGCTAAAACTGTGTAAATTTAAGTATGCAAAATGTTTAAGTCACATTATTTATTTTTCATTATGAGACACTAAAAACTGTTAATCAGACTACAACTGTTACCTTTCCTCTCCTAGAAAGAATACTCCACACATAAAAACTTATGTAAATGACATAGACCCACTTGGGTGCAAAAAAACAACAAAAAAGGTAATCCAGTAATCCATGTCAGGATTCACCTTAGTAGAAATTTAGCACAGGCCCTTTAAAACCTATTGAATAATTTGATTGGCAAATACTGTCTGTCACCAAGTCCCTTTTTGTCATCTATTTAAACCTTTGTTAACTATACTTAAAAATCTTGTACATTATAAGCTTAACTATATAAAAAGAAAATTGATTGATAGAAAAAGACTAAGGGAATATATGAAAATATTAACAATGTTTATTTTTGATTAATGGAATTCTAGATGACTTTAATTTTCTTTATATATTTCAGTATTTTTCAGATTTTCTATATGCTTTCCTTTTAAAATCAGATTCTAGTTTTTAAAATACTGATACATCCATTTTGATATACCATGTGTTCACACTTTAAAAAATACACATAGCAGAGTATTGGAAAGTATGTACCAAAACATTGATGTGGCTACCACTGGGAGTCAGGAGCATGAGTTAATCTTCTCCCTTCTTACTGCTTTTCCAAACATTCTCCAGTCAGCAGGTACTACATTTATAATGGAAGAAATTTTTTAAAAAATTTTGAGCTGTACACTTTCAAGTAAGATCTGAATGCTAATGCTGGCTTGTGCCTCTTTCTGTGTGGTTTGGTCATTATAGATAATGCCAAGTTTCAGTTTCCCCATCTTTGAAAAGGAGATAATATGTTATCTCTTGGGAGTAGTTCTGAATATGAAAAGTGTGTTGATACAAGAAGCACTAACAATGTTTGTTTCTTAAAAGTGGCCTGGTTTGCCTTTTTTATCAAGAGAGCTTAACAGATTAAAAAATGAAATTAGTCTATTTTCTACTTGCCAGCAGAGTATCTGTCTTAGGATGCAGGGTGAGACTCACCATTCAACTGAACAATTAGTTGTCAACCATTGAAAATAAAACATTTTCTCTAAGCATCTTTAGCCTCATTTCACTATTATTTTTTAAACTGTTGTTAAAATACATATTATTCAAACCTAACATGTAACTATGACAAGTTAGTTAGCCCAGGTTACGTATCAGAATGTGAAGCAGCCTGCTATATATTACACGGCGACTACAGCAGACTAAGCAGCCTGCTATATATTACACGGTGATTGTATCTCCATATATTGTCTATGAGGCCACAAAGCTCTGCTTGAGCCTGGGCTGTCTAGAAAAGGGCCAAAAAGGGGCTCAGAGGATTAGGAGGCAGGGAGCTTACCTTCAGTGTTCCAGCGCCTGCTGTTTGGTTTCAACTCACCAGGGTCCTCTGAGGAAATCATAGTTTAAGGAAATGGTAATTTCCTGGTTGAGGATAAGCAGTAGGGAAGAAGGCCCTTGCTGAAGGTTATGGGCCATATTTGAACAAGTCCCAAGGTGTGCTGTATCAATTGTGGTTCTGAATTGGCTTTGGGTAACTGCTAAAGTATTACAAAACCATCCCTCTGACATTATATTAGTTTGTTCTCACACTGCTATAAAGACACTACCCAAGACTGGGTAAGTTATGAAGGAAAGAGGTTTGACTCACAGTTCCACATGGCTGGGGAGGCCTCAGGAAACTTGCAGTCATGGTGGGAGGGGAAGCAGACACCTTCTTCACAAGGCAGCAGGAGAGAGAAATGCAAGCAGGGGAAATGCCAGACGCTTATAAAGCCATTAGATCTCATAAGAACTCACTAACACAGTGGGGGAAACTGCCCCCATGATCCAATCACTTCCCTCCCTTGATGTGGGGCTTACAGGTCCCTCCCTCGACACATGGGGATTACAGTTCGAGATGAGATTTGGGTGGGGACACAGAGCCAAACCATATCAGACATCATTCAGTTAATTCTGTTTTAATTATTGATACCTGAAAACGAACCTCTTTATCTCCTCCCCTTCTGTTTTCACCCATTCTTTCCAAAAGCATGCAGCATAGTCTTCAGCATGTCCCTGCAGTTAGAAAGTTTCCTTCCCCTTGACAAATTTGATGTATTCATCTCCTTTAATTACAGCCAGTCTTCATTACAAGTGGAATCTGTTGCCTTACTTCTATTTTATGTTGGGTTGTGTTTCATTCATTGTATACTTCTTGTGTAGCCTCACCCACTACTTTAAAATTATTTCCTGGTCTGTTTACTTTTTCTTAAAGAATCCAGTTGGAGCATGGTAAAGCTGCGAGCTCAAGCTTGAATACTTCAACTATTTGCAGAATTAAGCTCCTCAAATCACCCTCATTTAGGATTTAATTTTATTTTGGAGATGTGTGCTTTACTCGTGTGTTTCAAGAGATCCATGATTTATAAAGTACTTTTAACACATTTCGTGCACTTCCATAGGAATGTGGCTGCCAGAGACCTGGTGCTTCCTGGGGATAGCTGGCATAGATTTGCACCACAGCAGTCATATTAAATTAAAGCTCTTGCTTCTATTGAGCCAAACTGGAGTTTAGACTCTCCTTCAGCATGATGTTCCAGGTGGTACTGTGAAGTCCGTGAGATGGCATGTGAGCTAAAACTTCAGCCATCTGTGAACTAGACTTTGCTTTGGCTCAGCCGAGTGTGTTACTGTTTCAGTGTTCATCTAAATGAATTATTATATGACTAAAATATTATAAATACAAGAAATGGAGCATGTAATCACCATAAACTTTTAAAATCTCATAATAAATGTATAAGCCATGACTTCCTTCTCTTTTTCTCACATTAAAACAGTACCTTGACTACTTATAACTTATTTCCTATGTAGCCTATGAGCAGATGGCAAGGACCCTGCAAATGCCAGAATAATGATGGGCAGGTAACATGCCTGCCTGGAAGATGAAACGGCCAGGGTGGAACAGTTTTTAGGCAATGAACTCATGAGCCCATCCTAGGCGCAGTGCTTTAGAATGCAGCACAGGTGAGCTTATTAACTAAGCACCACCGCCTGGTCTACAGGACAGGATAGAGGAAATTGATCCTCATTAGGGTGAGAGAGGAAGTGCTTACGAGGAGAGGCAAACAGATAAATAAGTAAACTACCTCTGCCATTCAGATGAGGAAACTGCAACAAATTGAGCACTCAGGCTTTGCTAAAGGGTTTGTATTTCTCAATTTCTCATCATGTTAGTGACCCCTTCTGGGACACCAGTGAACAGAAAAGAAACAATCCCTTGACTGTACCCCTAACGAAGCTTCTGAAAGAGAAACTGGCTGGGAGAAAAAAAAAGAGAAAAGAGTCGTGCATCAAAATAACATAAATCTTTTATTGAAAGTCAGTTTACTAATGTTACAATGAGAGTAACATAGAAAACCATGGTATCTTATTAGCTTTCGAAGTGAATACTAATAAAACTGTGCCAGAAATTTGAACCTTAAGTTACAGTGACCTTTAAAAACATCAAGATTTTGTTTACCTACAATGTAAGAACAATTTTATAACTTGAACAGCCATAAAACAAATTACACTTGCTCAGGAAAGCAGTTGCCATATACATTTCCATTGGTGTTTGCCAGAACCCCAGTAATTATTGAAACAGCTTAACGAACCTGAAGTGCAGAGTAGCAGAGGAATGTTAAAATAATGCGAATCTAAGTATATACACATGATTACCTGATTACCAAAAGTGAAACCATGCTGCTATTAACACCTCCCCATGGGGTGGCTTCCACTATCTATAGATGGACATCACCTGTCAAAGGTGATAACCATGGAAAACACTAGTGCCGACCTACCGCTGGCTAACATTGAAGCTACTATGTTTAGGTAAAACATCCAGTTTCTGAAAGAAGTTGTCTTTTGGGGGTGCTAGTTTGGAGAGGCAAGTCTTCCAGCAAGTTAAAAAAGGAGTACATGCTTAGTTATCCTGAATAAACATTTTTAAGCACTTTTGCAGTTAGTGTAAAAAAAAAAAAAAGTTTTTCCATACAAAACAAAGGTGTTGAGTCATTTTTGCCCTTTAAAAAGACTGGTTGTAGAATCAGAGTTTGATTTTGTGCTGGATTAGGAAAGAAAAGTGGGGTTTCTAATCAGGCAGTGATACACATATATAATTTAGCAGGAACTTTTGTATTATTACTAAGTATTAATTCATATCAGCATTTTCTGTATTGCGTTACTTGTTCAACTTAGCACCGCTATATTTAAAGATTGGGGCTATTTGCATTATTTTAGAGCTTAACCATCCAACACAAATCACAGCCTGAAAATTCATAAAACAAGAGGCTAAGCCCTAGGGTGAATGCAGATGAGCATATTTTATATATATATATAAAATACATTTTTTTACAAGAAAGGAAAATACCTTTTCTTCATAAACTCTTTGAAACTTTATTGATGATTCTGTATGTGCATTATCTTAGGAACTGGTCTCATTGTATGCCTTTTTGTAAAACAAAACCAAAAACACACATTGCCTGGTTTTGATTTCAAGGATACTTAAGAACATGAAATGATGATTACCTGATGAAAAGCCTGCCAGCCTTGAAGCTTCCCCATATGATACAGGTTCTATGAACAATGCAATAGGGATGCATCAGGCAGGAGTGACTGACCCATCATGGACTGGACCACAAAGTATTCAGAGTCAACACTCAGTCAATCTGCCAAGCACACAAGTCTGTCTTAGGCATCCAGCACCTCTCTTCCCATCACACCCCTCGTGACAATGTGTGCTCTCCTGCATATCTGGCTTCAGGAATCTTCCTGTGGATATTCATTGTGCATCTGTGCCAGGACTAAATGCCCCATGATCTCCCAAAGTTCTCTGCTTCTTATCTCCTCCCCATCCTGAAATTCACCCTCTTGGGACTCATCTCCCAGTGACTTCCTAAGTTGCATAAGCTGCTAATGTGCCAGTGGGCGAAGATAAAGATGCCTGCCACCTCTACTCCCTAGGGCATCCTAGGGTTCTCTCAAGGGACAGCTTAGCCAAAGGAACTGACTTCCACAATAGAGAAGTTCCTAGTCAGGAGGAAAGAGTTGCACAGCTACTGAAGGGGGAGCTACATAGGAAGCAGGACGGTTCTGGAAGCACCCCTCAAAATCTCACCATGAGGATGCTTACTTGCTTGTCAGACTATGGATATAAGGGACAAAAGTACTAATTAGGTTTTTCGTTTTGAATGTTTTGTTTTTTCTGCTTACAAACAACCAGAAGATTCTCCATTTGGGGGACTAACAAAGCAATGAATAAAATGTCAACAGAAACACTCCTGTTTTCTAAAGTCCTGCTGCATCTTTGCTCTGCATCTGCAGATGTGATAGAAAAGCTCCTCTTGGAATTAAAAGCACCTCCCCCCAGAGCATATGCTATGAGCATGTGCCAACAATTCCCAGCAGGTGTACTTTTAACAGCAGGGCTACTCACACACAGCTGGCGTGGGCTGCTGCCGCTGGGCCAATTTTCACAAGAGCAGACTGCGCCCCTCATTATATGATACTATCAACGGGAAACTGTTTATCAAAGTCCTTAGTTCTTCCAGGTCAGGAGAAAAGTTGCTGCTTCCAAAACCAGAGTAGTTTTATCCATTCAAAAACATCTAAGGAGGAAAAAACCCAAAACATCTGAGCCCCAAATTAAGCCCTATTCCATGGAAGTGTTTACTTCCTATACATCTTAAGCTGCAGAGCAAGAATGAGAAATTTATCTTGACTCCATACATTTAACAGAGTGGAAAGGTATTTAGGTGGCAGTTTTAGAAAAAAAAAACCATAAAAGTTAAAGGAAAAATATAATTAGGTACATAAAAAGTAGGTATGACGGTGCAAATGGGAGTCAAGAGCGTTTCATGGAAAATTCATGCCAACTTGCCAACGGTAGGGTGATATTTATGATATGCTGCCCATGTGGGCATCCAGTGGCAGCAGCCAGATGTGTCCTATCAGACTGTGCAGGCAGCTGTCTCATCCCTCCTCACTCCTGCCAGTTCCTAACTTGGCTCTCCCCTTCCCATATACTCTACAAGCT